TGGCCTGCACGACATCAACCTGCACATGGTCCAGACTTCAACTGAACTGGAGAAGAACCACAGAGACCTTCACGACCTTTGGTACAAGTGTCTCTGGCCCAACATTTAAAAAGCCAGTTTTGTTATGATGGTGTATGTGGCACTCAAACAAAACGCGATGCTTTGTAAGTTTATAAAAGAAGCAAACAATAGGGGGAATCAAGAATGAATAAATCAAATGAATCAAACTAGGCGCCTGAATCAGAACTTTAGAGACAGTATGTAGGAAAGATGGGACATTTTTTAATATTTATTTATTTAAAATAAATTAATACTTTTATTCAGAAAGGATGCATAAAATTGATAAAAAATTATAGTAAAAAGAAATAAATAAATACATTTCAAATAAATGGTGTTCTTTTTGACTTTCTATAATGAAAGAATCCAGAAAAAATGTATCAGTTTCCACAGAAATATTAAGCAGCACAATTTAATTGGTTAATAATATAATGTTTTTGATCACACAATAAGCATATTAGAATGATTTCTGAAGAATCATGTGACACTGAAAACTGGAGTAGCTGCTGAAAATTCAGCTTTGACATCACAAAACTAAATTACATTGAACCATATTAAAATATAGTAGTTAACATTTGAAGTGGATCAAAAAAGTTCATCAAAGTTGTCCTAAGACAAGAAGTTTGTCCTTGGTTTTAGGACAACTTTGATGAAAGGTTTTGATTCACTTCAAATGTTGACTATGTTGTGGAGGAAGTCATGGCCTAATGGTTAGAGTTGGACTCGTAACCCAAAGGTTGCGGGTTCGAGTCTCGTACCGGCAGGGATTGTAGGTGGGGGGAGTGAATGTACAGCGTTCTCTTCCACCTTCAATACCACGACTGAGGTGCCCTTGAGCAAGGCACCGAACCCCCAACTGCTCCCCGGGCGCTGCAGCAAAAAATGGCTGCCCACTGCTCCGGGGGTGTATGTGTGTGCACTTTGGATGGGTTAAATGCAGAGCACTAATTCCGAGTATGGGTCACCGTCACTACTGTAGAAAACAGCTATTTCAAATTGTAATAATATTTTACAATATTAGGCCTACTGTATTTTTCAACAAATAAATGCAAGCTTAAAATGTTTTGAGACGTAGGCTAATTCTTTCAAAAATATTACATATAAGAAAGAAAAGAAATAAATTACAATATAGGCTATAATAAAATGTTTTAATGCATTTAGAGCATGCATTGCGTCTGGTGTGCCAGTGTTTTCCATAAAATGGCACAATTTTACTGAATTCATTTGTTATTTAGGTTACTTCAAATTGATGATTAACTAAACTGTGTACTATAATCTTTAATGATGAATTTTAATATTTAGGCTACTATGCTCAATGAAGTTGGTGTAAACGAAAACTTAGGCCTACCGTATATGTACTTTTTTTTTCCACAGGCACATATTTGAGGTCTCGTAAATCTTTTCTTGTAGTGTATTATATTTATACATTTTAGTACTCACGCTATTTACAACCACCTCTGAAAATGGAGACTAGAGACTAAACTGTTTACTCCATCTCTCCCGACAGAAAAATGTGGATGCACAACGGTTTCCTCTGGTCAGCTCTGCTCTCTCTAGAACACCACAACAACAACAAATGCCAGGACTCAGAACGGGCCCATAAATCCTATTCTGAGATCAGTGCCACAGAGGGATATTTATAGCTATTCAGCCCCGCAGATACCGTTTTTTCCCCCCGTCTGCTTCTCCCCCCAGACGTTCCAGCGGTTTAGGGACTAAAATAGTAAAGAAACAATAGACACTAGGGAAAAGAGGGCTGGTGAGAGGAACAGGGGTGTGTGCGACTGCCGGGGATAAAAATGACCCGTCTGAGGGACTCGCGCAGTCTTCCTTCTCTCTGTCATTATGGTCATGGTCGTTCCCGGTCAGGAATTTCAAAACTCTCACTCCCAAACAAAGCCCAGATGAACCGCTACTGACTCCAGCGCGAGAGCTCAATTCAAACAACCTCACACTACACAAGAGTCAAAGAGAGAGAGATTATTTCACTCAATTTGACTGCCGTCTGCCCCATCTCACGCTTATGAACAACTGAACTGAGCATGCTCAGCTGCTTTGATTTCATTTATTTTTTTACATTAAGCATGAGTTTCATGCCGATAAGATTTAAATTGAATACTATTTTAACTGAATAAGTTAAAACTACATGAGTTTTATGCCGATAACCGATAACCGATAAATAAGAGATATTAAAATGTTATATTTTGTCTGAATAAATTAAAATGACACGTTTAAGGCCAATAACCCATGACTAATAGATATTAAAACTGTATACTACTTCGTCCTAATGAATACAACACGTTTAATGCCGATAACCCATTAATAATGACATTAAAATTTGATACCATTTTGTCTGAATAAACTAAAAATACATTAAAGTCAATCATTTTAAATACTACATTGCAGCAACATTATAGTGTACAGTGAGATGAATAGATATTCGTTTTGTAAATTGCAAAAATTATTTAGCAGTGTTAATTATCGTTTTTAAATCTGACTTGTATAAGATGACGATAAAGGTCATATTAATTAAAAAAAGGGTCAATGAGCATGGACAATTAAATATTCAGTATAGCAACCACATCAATGCACTAAAAACAGTGTTGTTTTTGTTAACTAAAATTAAAACTATTAAACAATTATTTACTTTAATTGAAATAAAGCTTAAATAATACAATGAAAAACTTAAACACAGAAATGAAATGTCTCGGTAACTAACTGAAATAAGTTTAAGTTCTCAAATTAAACCTAAATTAAATAAAGATAAATAGAAATATAAAAAAACAATAAAAATAAAAGCAAAAAAAAAAAAAAAAAAAATATTAAGCTAAAAATAAAATGAAAATAGACCATAGAAAAAAGAAAACGAATTAATAAATACTATAATAGTATATAAATAAGACTAAAATAACTTAATAAAAATCACCTTAGCAACAATCAGCATGGTGGCGGGGTTTGGATGGGCAAGCGCCTTTAACATTTTCTTTTGAAAACGACAGAAATCTAGTTCAAATCAGTTACTCTGCTGTTGTGCTAAAAGATGCTTTCGCACAAAAATGTCTTGATTAAGCAACAGCTAAAGTTTTTCTTGCAATAGAAACCCTGAGGCTTATGTACAGAAAAGCGAGGCATATTTGACGGCTAATTTTCAGTTAAGAGATTTGTTTCCCAGAACACTGAACTAGCGGGCATGCATGACAACTGGTAAATGGAATGTTTGTTAAGACTAACTGAAAACATTGTTGCAACCAGAGGCGGTATTACAGGTAATTATAATCTGGCTGTCGATCATCTTTGATATGAAATGAGCTTTCACAAATTTCCCAGGCTGATAGCTAAAACACTGTCTAAAGATGAATCCCACTCATAATCCAAAGAATTATACACAATAAACAGGCTGTATTAAAGAAAATGAAAAACACGACCATTTTTGTGTCAATACTGTACATAAATGTATTTTAATCATCAAAGATTTACAATATATTACATAAAAAAGTAGTAAAAGAGAGGCACAATTTAATATCCAGGATATGTGAACATGAGGCACTTTGTGAACTTAAAAATACTGTTCATTTAACACATTTTTTGGTATGTGCAGCATATACTCTTCCCTTTTTTGGCTCTCTCAATAGTGTGGGTTGATTTTTATGTCGAAAGCTGTATTTACAATATACTTTTTTTATTGGCTAACAAGCACAATACATTTCTCGCTAAAAGCAACTCCAAACACACACGCTAGTATTCTTACACACTCACGTACACGATTCTCTCACCTAACACATTCTTCCATAAATCCAGAAAATCCTGAAGTGATCTGTAGAAAGTCTTACAATCTCCTATGAATCTTTAGTGTTGAGGCGAAACATTTTCCTGATTACAACTGGCTCTCGGTCAGCTGTCAGAGGAGAAAACCAGCGTCTGTCCAGCTCCTCTTGCTCGGTAGCCTGACCTTCCTCAGTGTGAGCTATGCATAATCTGATAAAGTGCATGAAATCTTTGGTTATGAAACATAAAGCTTTATGAAAAGGCCATGTTCTTCCACTCCACCCCACTGGAGGGATCCAAACATTCAGTTTCTGCAGAGAGAGAGAGCGAGTGAGAGTGACCTTTCTCTCTCTCTCATTTCTCATCGCTCACGCTCACGGAGCAATCTTCCGGAATCTTCTCCTCGGAGCTGCTGCAGGTGGACAACTTGTCTAGGTCGTCATCCATCTCGCTGAAGCGTTCAGCCACACACTGCGCCGTGAGCCGGGCCTCAGGATCGTGATCCCAGCACTCGTTGATGGTGGAACAGACCGCAGCCACACCCTGGAGATAAAAAAAAAACAAGTGTTTGTGCATGTGTTGTAGTTATTTCAGTCACAGTCAATGACTATGTTTACAAGGACATCAGTAATCTAATTATTTACCTTATTCTAAATAAGACAATATTATGATTAAGGTGTTTACATGAGTTGCTTTTAGAATATTCCTTTCATGTTCCCGTTTTACATGTTATAGTTCATAGATCGATTAATGGCACACGTCATTACGTCCCCACACGCGAGTCGACGCCCCTCCAGAATTTCATGTATAAACTAGTGCTGTCGAACGATTAATCGCATCCAAAATAAAAGTTTTCGTTCAAAATAAACGGTTTATCGCATCACAACGAAGACGAGCTATATGTTTATACTAGTGCTGTCAAACGATTAATCGCGATTAATAGGGGTGTCGAAATTAATCGTTTCTTCGATGCATCGCGATGCAGACGAGGACGATTCGGTATCGGTTCAGTAATAGATCATAACCGATTATAACGTACTGACACTTTTCTGACGTCATTTGTCGCATACGTACTTTGTCGCGGTAGTATACATTAGGCGCGTTCGGCTTGAAGCGCCGCTGCGCAGAATGATCAGTGTATGACATCAAGTACCGCGAGAGCGATAAGACAGCATATTCTTCCACTCCACCTCACTGGAAGGATCCAAACATTCAGTTTCTGCAGAGAGAGAGAGCGAGTGAGAGTGACCTTTCTCTCTCTCTCATTTCTCATCGCTCACGCTCACGGAGCAATCTTCCGGAATCTTCTCCTCGGAGCTGCTGCAGGTGGACAACTTGTCTAGGTCGTCATCCATCTCGCTGAAGCGTTCAGCCACACACTGCGCCGTGAGCCGGGCCTCAGGATCGTGATCCCAGCACTCGTTGATGGTGGAACAGACCGCAGCCACACCCTGGAGATAAAAAAAAAACAAGTGTTTGTGCATGTGTTGTAGTTATTTCAGTCACAGTCAATGACTATGTTTACAAGGACATCAGTAATCTAATTATTTACCTTATTCTAAATAAGACAATATTATGATTAAGGTGTTTACATGAGTTGCTTTTAGAATATTCCTTTCATGTTCCCGTTTTACATGTTATAGTTCATAGATCGATTAATGGCACACGTCATTACGTCCCCACACGCGAGTCGACGCCCCTCCAGAATTTCATGTATAAACTAGTGCTGTCGAACGATTAATCGCATCCAAAATAAAAGTTTTCGTTCAAAATAAACGGTTTATCGCATCACAACGAAGACGAGCTATATGTTTATACTAGTGCTGTCAAACGATTAATCGCGATTAATAGGGGTGTCGAAATTAATTGTTTTTTCGATGCATCGCGATGCAGACGAGGACGATTCGGTATCGGTTCAGTAATAGATCATAACCGATTATAACGTACTGACACTTTTCTGACGTCATTTGTCGCATACGTACTTTGTCGCGGTAGTATACATTAGGCGCGTTCGGCTTGAAGCGCCGCTGCGCAGAATGATCAGTGTATGACATCAAGTACCGCGAGAGCGATAAGACAGCAGACGGATCCTTATGCTTTCGCTGTTGATGTCATACACTCATCCTGCTTCAAATCGAACGCGTCTAATGGCGGAGGGAGGCGAGATGCGAATGTGAGTAATTAAAAATGCTCCAACTACTTTTGAGGCACTGAGGCTTTCCTCTGACTGTTTCGGGAAAAGATTCAAAGCTTCGAGCGTCTCGAAAACAGCGCCATCTGGTGGTTAATAAAGTCAATACACATTACCATTCAAAGTTCTGGGGTTGGTTTCACAGTCAAACCAATAAAAATAACATTTAACTGCACAAAATAGTTTTCTTACTCAGTATTTTGTATTCCAGTAAAAATATCTAAACATCCTTAAAACTACACACATTAACATGGGAAGCTAAATTACCTAAGATATGCATTGTTTACAGAAAAAATGTACAACATTTTGTGTAAAAAATTGTTTAATTTTATGTAAAAAATGAATTATTTATTATTTAAAAAAAAGACTCTTATGCTCACCAAGGCTGCATTTATTTGATCAAAAATATAGTAAAAAC